GGGTCACATGTCGGGCAGTGGCAGGGCCCGTCCGGGCTGAACCCGGGGACATCCTCCCCCAGGCAGGCCCTGCCGCGCCTTTTGGTGCTTCTCTGAGGGTTGTTACCTTGTCTAGGAGAGGCCTCAGGCCCTAGCAACAACCTGGAGCAGGATAGGCCCTAGCAGCTGGTTTAGGGCTGGCTCCTGGTTGGTTTCGCCCTTAGGCCTTTCTCCACCTTGCAGTGTAATGAGGAAATGGATGCAGGGTCCACAACACTGTGTATACTTGACTCGTGGGCAGGCAGCAAGGGTTCATTGTGATGCAAGCAGTTAAATAAGTTGGTGCTGGCAACGGTCATGTTACAGGCTGAGCAGATTGTGTATTGTGCCCAAGTAAGTGGAGGACCCTGGAAACATTTTCAGCCATGGCAAGTGTCTTTCCTTACAGTCCCATGGAAATAGCTCGTGAACTAGGTTAGGTTCAGTCACTGGCCAGAGATTAGCTGATAGTCTTGTGTGTGTGTACTGTTAGAGTCAAACTAGTATCCAGGGTTTCCCTAGGAGGAGAAGGAGAGGAAAAATACCAATTTTAAAAAAACCTTAGGCTTCCATTTTCTTTTGCAACAGATCTAAAATGGCTGGAAATGGAAAGCTGAAATTGGCAGGAAAGGACACCTCAAAAAAGTCTTGAGTGAAAAATGTGATGTCTTGAGTTACTAGGTCTTAAGTCAGTAGTTTCATCCCGTTATTTTTATGAAATATAATTTCTTCATTACATTTTACCAATACGCTAAGCAACGCTAAATCTATGCTTGAATAGTAAAGATAACTGCTTAGAGAATGTGTATGTTTCCAAGGGGACATGTATGGATATATTCTTCAGAGGAGACTAGTTTTATTGGTTATTAGCTTTAATGTTGCAGAAAACCAGTCCCTTTCCTTGCTTGATAAGAGATGTAGTTAAGAAAGACTTCTTTGTATTGGAAGGCATTATGAGGTTCTGTAACCACCCTTCTTGTGTTTCCATTTAAGTACAATCTTTAGTGTTGTGAACACTGGGGAAAGGCATTTAGGGATAGCCCTTTCAGGTTGCTGGATGTTGTTCAAGGAGTTATCATTGCCTAAACTGTTCTTTCCATCCTCTGACCCGTCAATGCCCTTAGTCTGTTCTTTGAGTCTCTTTTTCTTAGACAAAGTCGCCACAACAAAAAAATACAAAGCTGTTGATGACAGTTGGAAGCTGGAGTAACCACCTGCTTTCTTAGCTTACTGTTTATGTAAAAATTAAATATGCTGTCTGCATATTTTTTGTTCGTTATGTCTTGTATCTCTCTATAATGGAGCCTTGTAATCATCTTCAGTGATTGGCATAGCCAGGGACTACATTCAAGTGCTTTTCATTGCTGTGGTTCAGAAGGTTTTGATTTCTATAATCTGATAATTTCTCTGTGCTGGTCAGAAAGGTGATGATGGTATTTCTGGGCAGGTATGCTTCTGTGAATACTGCTGGTATTCAAGCTTTCCTTATTCAATCCAACAGTATGTTAAGCCATGGTGTAAGAGATGGTTAGGCATTTTGTACACACACAAGGTGTTCGGAGGCGAGATATTTACCATCTTTATTACTGGTATTGTGGTAACAACTTGGGACTTTAGATATGGCTTGGAGCTTTGTTGTACACTGTTCAACACAAAGGCAACCAAAGGAGTCCTGTTCCAAAGTGCTTGGCACCTTGGAGGATTGTCACGAACCCCACTCTAATTCAAGGTGTTTGTGCGTTCTTGTGAATATTTTCTTATTAATTTTACTAATATGACATGTATGTCTCTTACATATGAATAGTGTCTCTAGCAGGACAGTGAGGTGCCTGCTACTGGTGAATCAGTAAGTAGGGAGCCCAGCTGCTGGTTGCCAGGGTAACTAGGGGGAGTCAGCTGACTGGAAGGGGCAGGGCCTGGCTCTTATATAACTCCCAGGCTGAGGCCAGGCAGGTAGTTAGTTCCCTGCTGGCAGTCCAGGGGGAAGGAACTCTGCTGGAGTGAATAATGAGTAGAAGCCAAACTGCAGGTATGGCCCAAGATTGAAGACAGATGGAACATCTCTGATGTGGCGAGAGGAAGGTTGGCGCCAGATGGCTTAGAGTTATATTATAGCTAAAGGGCTTGTGTTTTGTTTACTGTTTGACCGGAGGACCGGGTGAGGCTATAAGGGGATGGAGGAGGCCTCATAGGGGAGCCACAGCTGTGTGGAGACCCCAGAGAAGCCCCGGAGAGGGGGCCGCGGGAAGCCAGAGCACCTGGGGGGCGTGTTTCTGAGGCACGGCTGCAGGAAGCCAGAGCGCCTGAGGGGCGCGGCTGAGAGACCAGGTCTGCGGAGAGCCCGAGCACCAGAGAGGGTGGAGAGAGTGAGATAGACCAAACAACATCCAGTACATCTGTGAGGCTTGGGGCATGGTACGGGGGTGGTTGGAGCCATGCGTAGCCCATAAGGCTGGGGTGTTTGGAACCCCGTTGTATAAGCAAGGATTGGGGTAGCAGGAACCGAGACCAGGAAGATGAGTGGCAGCCTCCCTTTAACTTTCATAAGATCAGGATGTGGTGGGCGAGAAGGAGGGTGCGTTAATGCAAACTTGGCACGGTAGGGAGCGCTAGAGGAGAGCACAGCAACCCTAGGATGTGTCCCCCCCCCCCCCCCCCCC